TATTACCAACGACTTTACTTATCGTTTATCATAAATGTGCGTTCACAATTTAATGCAATAAAAATTAATATTCTTTTACTATTATAATAATAATTCTGAGATAGAATATTGAACGTACTAATAATTTTATTAAAATATCGTAATTTTTTTCGTCATTTTTGTGTTTCGTTTTGGTGTTGCAACTATGCACACGATTTATATGAAATCAAATTTTTATAACAAACTACAAAATTTTTTTTAAAAATGTTGACACTAATACTAGTTTGTTATCCCATGAATAGTATAATGAGTTGATGAAAATCCAATCCATAAGAATTGGCCAAAGATTTTTAAAATGTGTTTATAAGTCCAAGTGACAAAATAAAAAGTGTATTTGCCTTAAAAATAACATTTTGTGCACTTTAAAATATCACATTTCTGCAACATGTTATAATAAGTAAATAGTAGTCCAAGTAAAATATTTATATAATAGTAATAATATAATAATAGATAAAAATTAAATTTTGTCTGTAATATGAGTAATAATGTATAATAATTATAAGAATCTTAATGTAATATAACATAATAAAATGTTTTGTACTTTGCTTAAAAAAAAATTGGCATTTTACATCATAACATACCTAGGTATTTTATAAAATACCTAGGTTATATGTAAAATAATATTGAAAATCATATGTTTTATTTACATTACCTATAATGGGTCGGTAATTTGCATAATGCCTAGGCATTTTTCATTTTGCAAAATACCTGAATTATCCATATTACCCTTAACATATATATATATGTATATATAATAATAGAAAATAATATTTTCATTTAAATAAGCTAACCATTTAAGTAAAGATTATTGTGTTTAATGTTTTAGTATTGATTTTATAATACCTAAATGCATTATACTGTTAAAATAAATAGCGATTACGAAGACGCAGATACAAGACATCATTAAAATGGGTTGTATTCAGTCCCTGCTAACTTTAATCATAAGGTAGCATATCTGTATATTGATAAATCAATCTTTTTAGTTATTAAAAGATTAATTTTATTAAATATTTTATTAAACCATACATTTTTAGATTTTTAAAATAAGTATAAATACCTAGTGTAATTAGGGTAGGAGTTAGATAGGGTTAGATTATGAATACAATCTACAAACCCTATTATTATGATGTTTTATACCAATCGAATTGCCCAAACATGCATAAAAAATATTCAAAATACTCTTTGGTTGCATAGTTTTATAATCTTAGAAAATATAGAAAACTTTTTGTATAAATGACTTCAAAGTTAAAAAAAAAGCTCTTATTATTACATAGTGATATGATAAAAGTATTTAAAATAACTATACGAATTAATAACTAACAAAGATTATAATATAATCTTAAAAACAACAAATATTAGAATTAAAAAATAACTTTTTATTATAAATGTATGAATTATACTTACCATTAACGTACTTAAAATGTGTATCTCTGATTGCGGCATAACCAGTTAAGTCATCTATATTGTGTAATACTTGTTTTCTGGGAGATTCTTTGTTTTTTAAAAATGATTTCCACATACTAATGCCATCAATAGTACCAAGATCATCAACATTTCCACCTGTAATAATGTATTAATGTTTACATTGTACAAAATAATACTATAAGAGTATAAAATATTATTTCCTGAAAATTTCATTAGATTTACCTGCTGCTTGGTATAATGTTGGTAACCAATCGGAAATATGCATTAACTGATCTGGAATATTTTTTCTTTTCGGTAGTAATTTACTCCACACGAATGCTGCTGTCCGAATACCTCCTTCCCAGGGAGTAGCTTTTTCCTAAAATACAAATTAATATATAGGTACTTTTTTTATTTGACTAATGTTCTTATATACATTAACAACCTATTTTTACATTAAAATTTTATTAACACATTTTTAATAAATTAACATAAAATTCACTATATGGTAATACAGTGAGTTTCGTTGAATGTGATTCATTGGTTCAAGCCATTTTGATTTTATTAACCAGTTGATTCTATAAACATTTTTTTTTTTTTTAATCAATCTATAGTCTTAAAAAGAGTTAGTTAGTTTACTTAAAATATAAAACTAAATATAAAAAGTGATTTAAAATAATTTTAAAAATGCATTAAAAATACATTTAAAAAAATTATCTATTTTCGATTCCATTGATATTCTTTGAATTTAAATAATTTAAATAACTTATCAAAACGAACGAGTAAATATTTTTTTTCTTTTATTGACATATCTCTTTGTTTGCTCGACGTTTAAGAAAAATATTTAATCATAAACCAAATAAATTAAACAACACAAGTGCCTACATGACGTACAACAATACAGTAACACACTGATAAATTCAAAAATAAAATGGATCTTATATATTAATCAGCTTGAAATAGCACAAAAACGTATGTTCATAAAAGTGACTCGATTATCTGGTACATAGTGATTCGGTTGAATCCCAAAACCACACAATTTTTATGGATTAATACCGCACACTTCTGAATTTTACCTGAAAATATGATAAGAAAAAATCACACACTTCTGATTTTTACCTGGAAATATGATTAAAAAAAAACCACATCCTTTTTTGATAATAAAAACTATTGTATTAATCCTTAAAATTTTAAAAATTATACAGACTGTATTTTTTTCCAAATAAAGAACTAAAAAAATTAATATTATTATTATTATTATTATTATTATATTATTGCTTGATACCGATGGCCAATATTCAGAGGTGCCAGGTTTTGAAAATGTCATGAAGGGATCACGAATTTATAATTACAGGTACAGTTTTACCTAAATCTTACCATATATTTCTATTTTTATTTTTCTTGAATTACTAAAATATAGTTCTTTGTTGTTTTGTATGTTTAAACATTTTAATAGTATTTGCATCATGAAAAATCACCAAGAATTAAAAAATGACAAAATATTTTTGAATTTCATGTGTTTTGTACAAAAATTTATTTTTCCGCACATTGGAATTTTAATGAATTGGTTCACAATAATTTCCAAAATGATTTCTTCATCACGGCGAACACGAACAATGGAAATATCAATCAATCGTGTTTGACTCATTGTGGACCTAATGTATGTCTTAATTCGGCCAAGGGCAGGAAAAAATCTTTTAGATGTACATGATGAAAATGGAATAACTATACATTATGCATAATATTTTGTTTGGTTCTGGTAACATTTGACGAAGTACATAATTTTTTTCATGAGCTTCAAGACATCATCAACATCTTTAATTAGCACCTTCTATAATTTCGCTTTAATCACAAAAATATCCATGTAACTGCGATTAATACTATTTATATATAATTATACTGTTGATAAAAATATTTTGTTTATAAGAGTACCATCGACCAAGTACTTATCACAATAATTATATAAAAATTCAATATTTCTTTTATGTGTTATAATAATAATTTCTTCTTCTTTTACACTTGAGTACATTTTTCATTTTGTATGCTAAAAATATCACAATTAGAAACAAAATGTAGTGCTATATTCAGACTTTTCAGCAAATTTGGTAAAAGTTTTTGGCATTTGCGGAACATTGATTTCCTTATTAAACTTACGTCGTTACTTCCAAACATACTATTTTCTATAGGTCATATTTTTTTACGTATTATTTTTCGAAGTCCCTCATGAACATAATCACATACTTTACGTTTACATTCATTACGTCCTTTTTGAATTTGTATTTTTAGTGTTTCCAATTATCCTTGTACTTGGATATTTTTAGTCTTAAAAATTGTTTTAATTTGGCTGCATGTTGTAACCAAAGATGTACAATTTTTCATGTAACATCGGCCAATTACGTTTCCACTTTTATGTGATTTAAACTTTCTGTATACTATTTTACATACTTTCTGTATGTAAAATTTTCAATTGTTAAATATTTACCCCCCTTATTGCTATCAATAACTTTAAAAACAATTTTAAATAGCGTAAAAATGTACAAAATAATAAAATAAACGAAATCAATATGTATAATTACATATAAGAAATAAATGCAGACTCGAATCATATTATACACGTACATATTTACTAACTGCAATATATTAATATAGTCATTGTAATAATATATAAATATTATTATATTAATCTGTAATAAATTCATTATCAAATCCAATATCGATATTATTTATTATAATAAATAACGAATAAATATATCTGTGTTCATTATTTATGAACGCAGATAACATAGTTGACAACGAAAAATGTGAAAACATAATATGTTATAAGAAATATGGAGATACCTTATAACATATCTTAATATAATAAACTTATCTCAGACTGTTCCGATACCAAATACAATACGACACGAAACGATATACACAAAAAAATATAACCTTGGTGAAATCTTTCAGCAAAAATGATTAAATATTACTTATTTTAAAAAAATTGAATTTGATTTTTGGATTTATTGAGTTATTCAAATAAAAAGTAAATTTAACATTAGCATTGTACGATTTGGTTTGGGATTTTCTTTTTTAACTCCAATAAATGGTTGATTTTATAAACCAGTAATCACATTAAACGGAATTTACTGTATTAGAAAAAAGCAATTCCTAATATAAATTATAAATGGTTTAAAATTAGTTTGTAACCCTGTGTACTAAACTTTCATACTAGGCCCATTTTCAACAAGACATGTCAGTTTAAAACCAATATGAAGTATATTGAATTATATGTAAAAAAGTTATAAATATTCTATCAATATTTTTGAAATACTTACTCCTTTTAAAGGCCAATTAGAACCATGGTTTTTATGAATACCATTAGTAGGTGCACCATTGTCGGATATAAACACAAAAATTGTATTATTCAGCATATTATTGATATGTAATGCCTTAAAAATTTCTGCTACTGAATCGTCTAAATTTTTTATCATTCCTTGAAAATATAACAATAATATTATGAATAAATTGTATACTATTATAGAAAATATTGAGTATTTTTATTAGCTGACTTTAAAATTAACTGACTTTTCGTATTTGATACTAAAAAAAATACCTATTAAATTAATAACCAGACTCTTTTTGGTATTAAGCCAAAAATTTGTTCATTGGTTATTATAATATGTGCATTAACGTAAAAATTATAGTATAATACTAAATCTTAGCTTATACATTTAATATCAACGAAGGTATAATACAGATTTAAAAATTACAATTTTGCGTTGTATTTTCCGTAATGTCTGTAGTACATTGATTAAAAGTACATAATAACGATGTACTTAACAAATATTATTTAAAAAAACAACTATAAATATATAATATAAGTTTTTTTTCAGATGTGTTAAACTATTTAAAATTTTGCGTTATTATGTATTGTCCGATAATAAATATAAATTAATTATAACCATAGGTAATATGAGATATGTTATTTGATAGGGAAAGGTAGGAGCAATCATCTCCCTCCTAAAAATTGATTGTATTTTAGTAACTATGAATTAAGATATACAGTATATGCCACTTTATTGCAAATTATTTAAACCCAAATCATATTGAAAAAGGTAAATTTTCAGTATAAACCCTCTACTTCAATATAAGCACCTATTTACGTGCCTGGGTATTATATATAATTAATATACTTATGTAATGGCATCAGGTTTCTACACGATATTACACATTGTGAGTATATACTGTACACTTTTTTAGTATAATTATATAAAATATGAATTAAATTAATTTATAAAAAAAAAAATCATTTTCACCAGCATATTTTTGACGGTTCTTGTCTGTAATTGACTTAAACTTATTAATGTCTTCTTGAGGTGCTTGTAACGGATTTTCATAAGTTCCTGCATGAGGAGCTAGGTGGGCAAGGTACAAAAATAAGGGCACCGAATTATTGTGTTTCAATATGATATCAGTTGCTTCCTCGGTAAATATATGAGTGGAATATTTGCCATAACTTGACCAATCAGGATTTAAATTACGTCTCATATCAAAACCTTCATAAGAAGCAAACTTTTTAAAAAAAAAAAAAAACATATTTTAGTTTTGTACAGAATAAATTACATCATAATTATATAACTAGTGAACACTAACTTAACATGGGTAACTTTTAAACAAAATTTAAGTATTACATTACGTATTGTGATGAAAATATCATAAAATATTGTTTACATGTTTTATAAAAAAATATATGAAAAAAATGTTAACTCGGTTCAAAAACAGTTATTCTACTTTTTCAATTGGTGTGTGAAACACATAAAGAGTGATTGTATTCCTTTCTAATTTCTTAAATCATATACCGACCATATTTTCTTAAAAATATGTTTATTTTATTATTTAACAATAATTTCTTATCAATACTTGCCAATAAAATATCTACTATATATAGAGTGTGATCACGATAAGTGGAAACACTCAATAACACTGTGCAGGCTTCATATATTTAAATTCTGCTTTTTTGGTTTATTAATAAATATTATTATACACATTTTCAGAGGGATTGGATAAAAATATTTTTAACCCTTTTTCGCATAGAAATATTGGTACAAAATTTATTTCTAGGAAATGTTTAGATTTTAAATTGGCATGCAGTAGTACTTTAAATAGGTCATTTTTTTTTTAAATCTTAATAGTTTTTCTAGGCGTAAGGAAAAAACTGTCCTGAAACGGTAAAAATACGCTGTAAATAAGACTTTCAGTTTTCAAATTTTAGTTATTTACTCATAATTCCATAAGTAATGTAGCTAGAAACTTGAAACTTTTATCTTGTAGCAAAGATATTTTTTTTCGTATTTGATAAAATTGTCTAATGGCGATTTCGATTTAAATATAGAACTTTAAAAATACCTAATTTTTTTAAAGTTTTTATGAGTCATTCAATATAATGGTTTAAGTTTAGGGATTTCAAAATCTGGTAACCCTACCTATTACTATTATCTAGTTCGAGGACCAAAAATACGAAGGACAAACTTCCACCACCATTATTTAAATATAATAATAAATTTATATATTTCTACAATAAAAACTCTACTTTTCTATACATAATAAGTAATGAGTATTTAAATGTAAATTAACATAAACACATTTGGGGGTGCTAAGCACACCCAAGCCCCCCCCTTCAAATTGCGCCTATGACTGTATATAAAAATCTCGTGTCACAGTGTTAGTGACCATACTCCTTCAAAATGTCTAAACCGATTTTAATGAAAATTTGTATATACATTTGGTAAGTCTACGAATAGGTTTTTATCTATTTTTAATACTCCTAAGTGCTATTATTGATAAATAGTAGTTTAATTTAATAATTTTTGACCCGGTCGATAACTGCGCAATTGAAAATTAATTATTAAATGATACTATTAAAAAACTAATAAAAACTATTTAAAAGCTATTAATTTTATTTTTGGTATTAAATTATGGGTATTGCATAAATATTAAACAATAAGATCCCGCAACAGAGGCTAAAACAAACAAGAATGTTAATTCGATTTAATATTATTTTTATATTTTAAGTATTTAAAAGTGGTATCTGTTAATATATAAGAATATTTGTTTTGCAATTTTTTACTTAAATCTAGGATATAAAAATAGTAATTAAATTTAAAAATATATTATAATTGTATAGTTTGCATAAATCAAGTTAAAACTATGTAATTAGTTATTGTATATTGTGTTATATTATGTTATATTGTAAATATATGTATATCTACAAAGAATGTAATTGAAATTATTATAAGTTTTTAAGTTGATATGCGTATAAACTTATAAATTATATATATATATATATATATCTTACTGTAGCTTGGACCATATGTGAATAATAATCTTGATAGCCATTCCAAAATCCATAAAAGCTTTTAAAACCGCGATAGGTTGGTGTATACAATTTTTTGAAATATCCCAAATGCCATTTTCCTACTGCGTGAGATACATAACCTAATTTATTTAAGTACTCAGGAAGCAATGTTTCATTTAGCGGTAATCCCCAAGGTTCCGGCTCTAAAATCACATTATGTTGAGTCCCTGAAAATAAGGTATAATATATGTGTATATAATACACATCAAAGTCATTATCCATCATAACTCACAAGGTAATTTAGAATTTATAGGAACACATTCAATTAATCATGCACACTATGTCAGTAAATTAAACTTAGAGGTAAATATGAAGTAACGAGAAAGAAATAAATTATTCAATACTAGTATAAGTTATTTAAAATCATTAATTAATAATGAATAATAACTGATCACTTATTTGTTTTCCAAATGTATTATAACGTTAATTTATTTCGTTTGTAATGACTATAACGCTATTAAAATGTTATGTAACAACAAATGTTTTAGTTAAAATATTATCTTATTTAGTTATATTAATAACAAATGTAATATTAAAGTAAACACATTGATTGATAATTTAATTGATAAAAGTAATCAAAAATCAAAAAACTCAACTCAATATAAAACAATGTGCTAATTTCATCAACATTTAAATTCCTTTGGAAAATGTAAATTTCGAATTTATAATTATTTGTTTTAATTATAGTCTGTTATTTGTACACGTTCATTATGCAATAGGTACAATCAAACTACGGTCTAAAAAAATACGTGAAATTATTATTATTATTGTTTTGAAAAATTAACGGTAAACGCATGATAATTTATTATTTTTACCATGAGTTAATATTTTACAGCCATTTTCGATACCTAAATTATTATGGAAGTATATGCCGGCTTATAAGGTTAGAAAAAATTTACAACAAACCTGTATGAATAGGATATTTTCCGGTGAGCAATGCTGAACGAGACGGCGTACAGAGCGATTCACTGTAATGGTTATTTAATATTATTCCGTCGTAAGCCAAAGCATCAATATTGGGAGTGATTATTTGGTCCGAACCATGAAAACTGACATCATTCCAACCCTATTAATAAAGTATTATTCTGTTTAATGCAACTGATCTGACGTCTAGACCGCGTGTTAAATGCGTACAAAGTTTTCCGTATCACTTACTAAGTCATCGGCCAATACGAAGATAATGTGAGGACTTGTGTTCGTTGCTAATGCTCCATAACTGCGGTACATTACCACTAGACACGACACAAAAACGTAATGCGAAAAACACAACATATTCACTAAACGTTCTCGACACATGTGGAAAAAATTATAGATAAAAATCAATAGTATTTAATGTCAAAACTAAATGTATTTTTCGAACGACACGGTTTTGAGATAGTTATTATTTATGCATTGTGAATGCTCAAGAAATTGTACTAGACTTTATGAACGTAATAAAACATAATACGAACTGGGAAATATTATAAGGAGCATACAGAAATATTGGTGACTTGACACCTTGACCGCGCGTGTCTATAATAAACTACTGTTTATACGACTCACAATACTCCAATGACGAAATAGGAAAAATATATAACAATAAGAGAATACGTTAACACTCGGACTATGAACGTCTTATGGCGAAATAATATCTTCAAGAGTATAATAATATCCGAATTACCTTCGTGATTAAAGCCAACCAACATTTATCCTCAAGGTCGAGAACTTGTTTGCGCCCGACAATTCTGGTTTGTATAATTTATTATAAGTAATTCTCATTTTTTAAATTAGCCACTTATTTCTTGACGTCATTCCAGTGGTTACCTTAGGTATTTACCATTTGAAAACAATTATAATAAAAATCATTCGTAAACGTATGTGATAAGTGTGATGATTTAACAAAAAAAAAGAAAAAGCCGAAAATACGCCGAGTGTTAGTCTTTCGTTAGGTCAGTCATATTATTTATATAAAATATGATTTTGATAAATCACGTTCAAAATATTATTTTCCGAAGGTCGATCAAATATGCTAAATTATTTAGGTACATGTAAGTACGTAAAATCTTGTTAGCACAATATAATATGCGTGATATTGTTTTGGTTCGTAGAAGTTCCCTATTATTGTTATTATTATTATAGACGTTTAATAAACTTGTTTGTTCTTCAATCGTTTATTAACAAGATCATTTTTTCATCAAAACCTACAATCAGGCCCGTATTTAAAAATGAAAAAAAAAATTTAAAATTTAAATTTAAAAATTTGGCGCTCCCGGGCATATAATTTGGCACCCCCAAAAAATAATAATAATATAACACTTATTATTTCGTCCATAATCGAGATTCTTTGATATTAAAATATAACTTATAAATGAAAATCGTTTAATACTTTTTTTAGTTAACAAACTAAACAAATTATAACATAATAAAACATACAATTTCCTTTTTTTTAGTTAACAAATTATAATATAATAAAAATACAATTTTTTTTTTAATTTAAAAATTATAACATAATAAAACATACTATTTTCTTTTTTTTATTGCTTTATTTTTTTTCATTAGGTACATCATTTTTAAAATTAATTTTTCTAAAATATTTTGCCGCCCCTGAGACTTGACGCCCCCGGATATGTACCCAGTAGCGTAATTTGGAGGGTGGCAAGGTGGACATTTGCCCTTGTCTGATTTTAAAAGTAGTCCAATCGGCCGATACTTGGTTGCTGCCGTTTAAGTTTTTTTGTTGAAAAAACATCTATTTTTTTTTTTTAAATATTTTGAGAAAATAATATTATATTAATTATATATAACGAAATTATTGAAAACAAATAAAGACAAATTAGAAAATTTTTAAAAATATTACAGAAGTTATTATATTTTATTGAATAATAAGTAGGTAGTACTTACCTATAATTACTGTTTTAATTTGGTATACATTAACTAAAGTAGACTGGGTTGGGATGGGCTCTATATACATTTCACTGAAGTAAGCTTAACTTTTAAAATTACACTATTGGTCAATATGGTCTTCAAAATTAGGTGGTGTAAGGGGTGACTGTTGTGTGAATAAACGTATTATGTTAACTTTAATTTAAAATGTGATATATATTACATTTTTAATACGTATTATGTATTTAATAATAAAAAAAGCTTTCTTTTTCAATATTAAAGTAACAAAAAATATATAAATTATAAAATATATATGTAAGATGGCATTTGTAATAACTAATAAGATAAAAATGTAAGTAGACATTTTTTTGAGAGCGAAATGAATCGTTTTTTAGGTTACCTATATGGCTATAATATATTATGAGCCGGTCAAAACTTTTGCCCTCCTCTGTTGAAAACTGAAATGACGCCACTGTATGTGCCTACCCCTGCCTCCCCTCCTAAATATGGGACTGCCTACAATTTAAAGATAAATAAAATAAATTATTGTTACTTTATGGAAAAATAATCATTATTGTTTTTCAAACTTCACACACACATCAAAAACTCTTGGCTTAATCAAATTTTATACTTTCAGTGATCAGTAAAATATAGCTAATGTGCTATATTAACGTCACTATCCTACGAACATTATAATTATTAATTTTATCAAAAATTATTAAACTTTATGGCTTAATGATTTGTTAAATTTAAAATTTTTTCAAGATTTTTTTTATTTAACTAAACTACATTCATCTTGAAGTAATATTTATTGCTATAATAATATCATTAAATATTAGTATTTATTTATTTTTTTTTTGATTTTTCATTCGCATTAGATACAGTTAGTAAAAATGACGTTCTTAAAATTCTACATCGGTTTGGTTTTTAAAATAATAAGATTGTAAAAAAATATGAAACTTCTAGATACGTATTAACCGTGAGTTTGATCAGTGATCACTATTAATACCATATATTATTAATGTAAAACTAGTGTATGAAAACGTTTTGTCGATTGTAAATTTTTTGTCACTCAATGCAGTCGATACGCTATCTGTCCAATAATAACGTATAAAAATCTCCTTTTGCGTTTGGACACTATTACAAATATTAATTGTAAAGTATAATTGTATTTATAAATTAAAGTATTATAATTATTATATATAAGATATATCGTAGCCACTTAGTGAAATTGACCGTTTCATGAAATAGAAACAGATTTTTCACACTTCGTGAAATACGAAAATATTTCACAATATAGTCACTCCAATTTGACATCGTATACTTATTTTCACAATCTAGTAGTTCACTTTTTGTACCGTAAATATATTTTATATTTATCATAGTTTTATAATCATTTTAATTTATGATATGGTATTTACATTAGCTTAGTTCTGATATACATGACAGTAATATATAAGTAGTTAAATTACATAATAATTTATATATTATTTATATATACGAGTAATATAATTTATTATATAGATAATAATTATTTATTTAAACAATTTAATGAGTTATGGTAACGGCTTTTTAATTTAATACTACCTTAAATAAAAGTATAACGTTTAGTTTGACAAATACTTTTGAAACAACTCAAAAATCCTTGACCTCCGGTTATAATTTTGACTGTTTCACACAAACTCAATTGGTTATGCAAATATAATATGTGTTGTAACACGATACTTATTTCCAGAATTAAACCATCTTTTAATTAAACCATGTTCAATTCCTACTCTTTACATCTCATTTTTTCCTCAGGTATAACAGCAACCATGCGTGCAGGGTCAGAGACCCTCTATCGACTTTTGGAAATATAACTTGTAAAAAATAACAAAAAACTGTATCTAAATATATTGTACTCGTCCAATTTATTTACCATGTATGTCAATTGCTATGTATAATAAATATTTTTTTATCTGTACGCGCTACTTTGCGTTTTTCTTCTATGTTTTGATTTCTTTTGCACAAATAACAAAACACTTCTATGGATTAAATTTTACAAAGTCCGCAATATCGTAAGTAGAATAGAAATGCCGATTCTGGTCCATTCTCCACTCCACCTCCACATATACTTCCACCTCCACCACTGTCGTCGAACCACTCTACATCCACATAATCCGTCGCCGCTGCGATCGTGTAATTACCATCGTTATCACCGCCGTCTCCCTACCATGAACCGATTCTGAACCATTCCATCTCCTTATATTCCGCATACGCCGCGACCATGTTATTGCGGTCGTCAAGTATACGCTACGTTACGTCATGTGTCTACTAAAGGATTTGATTGTCAAAAAGTTTCCATTATACCATGTTGTTTCTATAATGAGTCAATCGATCGAGTTTTGATGACAATAAATTCCATTAACTGTTTCACAATCATCCACCCAAATAGATTGGGATCTTTTTGTAATATTAATAAAATAATTTTGAATAGATAAAAATAGAAAATAGTTATTTGTGTTAAGGGTTTTTAAAAATTATAATATGCTGAAAATTTCACGAACTAAAAAAAATCGTATTAGAATTCGGTGAAAATGTTTCATCGACAGACGATACTATCTATTTTGTATGATCTGTGAAGTTAAAGTGATTTGCGAAAAACAATTTACTTACGAATAATAATTATAAGGGATTATTAAATCGTCAACAACATCCGATTTATACTTCTTTACTTCTTTAAATTGCCCTCAAATGGAGGAGGCAATCTCCAATAAAAACCAAGGTTAATCCACGCGATTTCGATTTCTTTTTCGCTTCTATTAGAATACAAAAGGTTTCTATTTCTATCATTTTAGTCTTAACAAATTCTCAATAGGTCACTATTTTTTTGATTACTTCAAGGGCGGACTAGGTTGGGGAGCCGGTGAGCAAATGTCCGCTGGGTCGCTTTCTTTTGTTAATGTCAAAATTAATTATATAGACAAAATATAATTTAATTATCAAAGTCATATTGACATTTTTACTATACAATTTTCTTAATTATTATTTTGGTGTAATATCCAATGTGTACCTAATATTTACGTATTATTGCAGATGAAATAATTGAAGTTACTGAATTATTATTGAATGCACAATAATGTATAATATAGATATTTAAGCCACAGCAATGGTGTCGAAGTCCTAAAATTGTAGTTAGACGAAAAATATTTAAAAAGGCTCCAATATCTAAACATCAGTCCCAATCGTGTACCTTAGGGGGAAGGGATATGAAGAAAACAAATTAATAATTTTACTCAAATTATTGTTTTCAAGCGATTGTGATAAAAAGTAAGATTTTCTCGATACATTTAAATAATTATATCTTAAAATATTTCAATATTTACTAATTAAAAGTGTATGTAGGGATGACTTAATTACCAATAAGCAGATATATCCATAAGATTTGTTAAAACATTATTTTCTAATATGAATCGTTGTACATTAAAATTAACTAAACTAGTTACCAAAGGCAAAAATTCACTTATTACTCCGGAGGTGCTGAAGTCCCTTCAAAATTAATTTATCAGTAACCCGTAAATCACTCTCCATAAATCATAAATACTCTATCACATCTTTTAAATAAATATTATAATAAACAGAAATTTATTATTGATTAAAATATGTATGTTTTTTTTTTTTTTTTTTTAGTAAATTACAAGAAAATAAAAATATACTTATAAATTATAACAGATACATGATAAAATATAAATTTTATTATAATGTAACTAATTTGAACAATTTCAATAAAACAATTTAAAAA